GATTTGAAATGCAGAATCTATCACTTCCTTCAAAGTCTGGACTACAATAATCTACACTGTTTATTTGTTGGGATTTTTTTTTAATAAAGCACCAGATCTCCTGTGGATTTTTATTTTCTATGTTTATTATATGACTTGGTCAATTTCTTTATGTTATCACTTGTAGAGACCTCAGGGCATTGTGGCTCCAGATGTTTCCAGGCAGTTAGGACAAATGGAATCAGTTGATTAGTGGCTTGAGCCTACCCCAAAGATAATTTCGTCATTCTGAAATGAAGTAAAACAGTATTATGTGAACTTTTCCTGGGGTGATATGGACAAATTATCTACTCACTACAGTTAATGCAGTAATTATATAAATTAATAAATGATTCCACCAACTACCTATGGTGAGCCAGTGAGTTTAATTTGGTTTGCCAGCAAGAGCTTGGGTGAGGAACTACTTACAGGAGCATGGGAAATTTGTGGGCATCTATACTACCAAAGAAACAGGCCTCTCTTTCTCTCCCAGCAACTGTTGACTGCCTATATATCCTCTGGAAGAGATGGGATGTCATGCACCCCACCCAAATAACTTGTATTGCCTATGTATTCCTAAGGAAAGGCTCAGCAGCAGAACGTTAATGAGCCTGATCTTGAACAGGTCATGTTTGGAGAATCACAGCTGCGGAGAGTTCCAAGAGGGTGATGGCCATGTCATGATCAGAGAACAGCACTCCACAGCCCACAGACCTCCTCAGGATCCGAGGCTGGTTTCTGGATCTGATATTACTAGGGATTTGAGATTCTCATTCATAGGACAATAGTCTAGTTAATGAAATATTTTTAAGAGGAACTTAGAGGAACCATGAACTATTTTACTGGAAGAACTATAGAAAACTATTTTATTAGAATCTTAAAGGAAAACAACAGGACAGGCAAGGTGTAAATCTTATCAGTTAACACGAGGAGGGAGATGGAGAAGAGGGAAAGAAAACAACATGGCCTCTGGGGCTGGAGAGAGGGCTCAGTGGTTAAGAGCATTGACTGCTCTTGCAGAGGACTCCTTTTTGATTCCCAGCACTCATATGGAGGTTAATAACCATCTGTAACTCCAGTTCCAAAGGATTCTATGCCCTCTTCTGACCTCCACAGGCATTGTGCAACACAGGTGCACTTACATACATGCAGGCACCTAACTCAAACACATGGCGCACACTTGTAGTCCCAGCACTCGGGAGGCAGAGGCAGGAGGATCTCTGAGAGTTCAAGGCCAGCCTGGTCTACATAGTGAGTTCCAGGACAGCTGGGGCTACAGGGAGACCCTGTC